ATTGGTCGTAAAGGAATATTAACTTTATGAATTTTTGGAACTCCGTAAAAATGTGGTGTTTTACTATTGTGTGGTGTTAATTTTGATCTAACGTAACCTGTGAATTCATGTTTAAATTTTTTTTAAGTGTTATAAATTTGTCTTTCAAAACGTTCTGTTGGATTTTTGTTTTTTGGCACTATTCATCAATCTGTAATAAAAGACGTGAGGAAATTCAGTCTTTTTTAAAGACAAAAATTTTTGAGGCAATATACCCAAAAAGAAGTTTGTAAAAAAGTTTATCCTGTTTTGATTTTTTGCTCACCCAGGGCGTTTTTATATTCCATTTGTTCCTGCCTGTTTGTTTTGTACCTCAGAGAGTTATCTACGGCTCTTCGAAGGTCTTTGCTCCCCAACTGAAACCTCAGCTGGGGGTCTTCCTTAGTTTTTATCAGCTTTTGTCCGTCACGGATGTTTGGGGCTCCACAGCCAGGCCGACCCAGATCCAGAGTACCTACAAATCGCTTCGCCTGGGGAACATTTCAAGATTAAATCATTTGGGGGCAATTGTTCAGTTGCCTTACGCTCTGATAGTCTTTGTTAGGAAACAGTTCCTCCAGTCTTAAGTTCCTTAAGCCTCGAGGTTTGGCATCTGTCGCTCGTTCCCATGGCCAATAACGCTCCATCATCTCCCGCATCTACAATTAAGACTTAACTAAACTGAAAAACCAGATTTAGGCGGCAAACATTGTACCTCTTGCTGCTCAGCCACCTTCCTTCTTCTTGCTTCCTCCTTTTGCTTCTTAAAAAGCGTCATTCCTTCGACAACAATTCGCTCCTCTACGTTCTTTTTCTCCACTTTTCTATTGCTTTGAGTTACTTCACCGATCAACATTCTTTATTTCGGTTTTTGGCCAGAATTAAATTAGGGTGAGATTGTTTTTCTTTGCTTCCCGATCAATACTTCAATGCAGATTAGGAGTGTGATGCTGCAGCGTCACAAAAGTGCCACTTCTCCCAGTAGAGAATACCCAGTAGAGAATACTTGCAAAGTTAACAAGTAGCTTTCAATGGCCGCCCTGTTCAGCAATGTCGTTAAATATAGCGTCGGAGTTTAGTGGCGCACTAAGCTACGAGGGCTGGCGAAGCTGTGACAGGCACGGCCGAAACTCGCAAAAATCTGGTCCCATGGAAAATCTTTAATGGAACAAGAGAGGCTTGAGCGCAGGCCAGAACTCCCGAACGCCCATTTGGTAGCATGGAAAAGCAGCAGCAAAACGGTCTTAAAAGAATTAAAAATCGGAAATTAGTTCTTATCCTGATCATTTCAGCTCCCCGATGTGCTGTTATGGATGTTTTTTATTTACTACCCGGTAGCTTATCGTTAAAAGTATTTTCTCCATATTACTGGCGAGAAAAGGAAAAATCCATCTGGTGTCGTTCCTGTCGTGCTTCCAGATCATTATTGCAGTTATAATAAATTATGATAGTTTAGGAAAAAAGTCATCGAGCTGCCTACCGAAAACTCGGTATTAGGAAGCGACATCTTCGCGTAATATTGGTTTGTGGTTGATCCCTCTAAAAATAGCTTTAAGTGTCGTAATATAATCACGATTTGCGCTAAAAATGTTTCAATTCAATTTCGTCGTCCGATTTCCACCTCTAAAAATTGGAGGTTTCTTAAGGTTGCAATGCTCAACTTTGCTACAAAATAAACGCGAATGTAAAGGTTACTTATTTCTGGAACATATATTAAACTACAGTTTTTAGGAAATTAATATTTGCTCTATTATAGTCTTGAAAAAAACTTAATAGCACATACTTAACATAATTGGGTACCCTTGATTTTAAGGTGCCAATAAGAATAGCCCTCCTACATAGTTTCATTGTATTATTATTATTATTATTATTATATCTTAAAACAGACTATTATTATACATGTCCCCTTGGAGCAAATTGCGCATCTGCTCTATACTCAATAGAGTGAACGTAGGAACACACTTGTATCTGTCATTTTGCACCCGTAGTCGCCCTGTTTTTGAACGCCGTTTCTTTCCCTCCCACAAGATAATTCACAAGTCTTTAACTATGGTGTTGCTGTTGTTATGTCAACAAACTCTAACCTCGTTTCTGCATAGCATAGTTTGTTTGATCGAGATTGTTGTGTTGTTAAGAGAATAAATTATAAAATTTTCGTATTTTCCGGCGACAGCATGTTTAAAAATACGTTTCAAAGTGGATTTTTGTCTATTCTGTATAGTATTGGTAGCAAACCGCTCCAGATATGGGACAAAAAGGTTAAAAATGGACACATTAAGCGGATCACAGACGAAGATATTCAATCTTTAGTGCTCGAAATAGTTGGTTGTAACGTTAGCACCACATATATTACATGTCCGGCCGATCCCCGGAAAACTTTAGGCATCAAGTTGCCTTACTTGGTGATGATTGTTAAAAATTTGAAGAAATACTTTACATTTGAAGTACAGGTTAGTACATAGAGAATGGCATTTACACAGTCCTATAAAGTTGTTTTTGTTGCGAGTTTGATTCAAGCTGAAAAACTACTCTTAATGTAAATTCTTGCCTCCAGATTCTGGACGATAAAAACGTGCGCCGCAGGTTCAGAGCTAGCAACTACCAATCAACCACGCGAGTAAAACCGTTTATATGCACGATGCCGATGAGACTGGATGAGGGCTGGAATCAGATACAATTTAATGTGGCCGATTTCACCAGAAGAGCCTACGGTACCAATTACGTTGAAACGTTGCGGGTCCAAGTCCACGCCAATTGCCGAATACGACGAGTCTATTTTTCGGACAGATTGTACTCCGAGGACGAATTACCCGCCGAATTCAAGCTGTTTTTGCCAATCCAGAACAAGGCGAGGACAGCAGTGACCACAACCAGTTAATGTAGGAGTGGCACTTGAAAATAAATCTTCTGTCCAAGGGGTTATATGCGTTTTAAATGCGCGTGCAAATTGATATTGTTTAATGCGAAATTGACTTCTCAGTTTGTTGCCAGACTACAACTCCAGAAGTTTATTGTTGTGCATGCACATAAATGTGCTTCTAAACAGATGCTGACAATGCCATGCATACTTTTGTTTGCCCGATGAATTCCACATTCATACCTAATTATTAAAGTTTATCGACAATCGAAGAACGGTGTAATCATTTTATGTATTGCATGTTATGGCAAGTGACTTCCCATCTCCAAGGCTAATTGTATTATGTGTTCTCGCTTGAATTCCCTTTCATGGGTTTCACTCAGAATTTCCATAGAAGCTACGGGCAAGAATCAAAATGCCAAAATCCGTACCATTCTTGACTCGAAAATCCAGCCGAATGTTCCACTTTGTTGGCATTGGAGCTCCCCAGAGGACGCGACCAGTTCAGTGAAGCTTATTTTGCATTTCAATGCCTTTCAAACATGCTGCTGCCCTGATACAAAACGAAATCTTCATGTGCCTGCAAAATTTCGCCAATAGAGAGGCATCTAATCGACAAAAAATAACGAAAAGAGTAGGATATTTTCGTTGTTCAGGCGGGTAGTTGAAAAAAAAAACACAGTTATTTCCTACAAACGCCTTTTTCTAAGCAAAAATTAACAATGAAAAATTTGTTGTTCATTCATCACTTATTCCCAAAAAGTCGCATTTTGTGTGAAAAATAGAAATAATTCTAGAATAACGTTTGTGTTGTCAACAACGTTAACTGCAGTTGTCAACAACTAGGTTATAACGCTAAACGCGTAACGCTAAACTCCTGCTCCTGATATTTGGCTCGTCACCGCCTTAGGGCCGTTCCACACGGGTCACTCTGCAGCGCTTCTCAGTGGCGCTGCTGAGAAGCGCATTTTGCAGATACATTGATTTACATGGAGCTGTTCATACGGGCGCTTCTGTGGCGTTCAGCCGTTGACTACCGCCGAGAAGCGCTTCAAAAAGTAGCGCCACTGATAGCGATACATTGGTTCAAATGCCGGCGTTTACACGAGCCACTTCAGTGCTTCACGCTAACGTGCGCTTATCAGCAGCGCCACTGAGAAGCGCTGCAAAGTGGCCCGTGTGGAAAGGCTCTTAAACACGCTCCTGCCCTGATACAAAACGAAATCTTTGGGGCAGCCAATAGAGAGGATCTGGATCGAAAAAATAGCGTAACGCTAACTTCTGCTCCTGATATTTGCTCGCTACCTCTTCAACTTTCCAGCATATGGGCTAATCGGAAATACTGGAAATGAATCGTGTAAATGTTACGCTGATGATTATTACGAGCAAACAGCACTCGGCTTAGTTCAAAGATATTAGAAGGGTGCACCATATATTAATTAACGCTTCCACTCGAAAAGTAACAATAAATATATGGCGCGATGGAACAGGTAATGTGAAAATGTCGGGCTGATTCATTCAAATAAAATACTCGAGTGAATATCAGCTTAAAAACGTTTTCTTTGTAGGAGGATCGTTTACCAAATATGTATTTAAAAATTAATACGTTTTTATCGCACTTGGGTGTTGGACACTTTCGCATATAAGCAGCCTGTTTTTCAATGATTTTGATTATCCATAATTCTGCCGTCTATGTGAATTTTTACTTTATCAGTTTCATATTTTTTGGCTCTAGGTAATCCTGTGCGTACTAATAAAAAGCAGATAGGAGCTGGTGGGTTTAACCAGTATGTTGAAGTTGAGTCCATAAAACAAGGACATTTTTGCGCTCAAAATATGCAACAACGAATAAACAATAGCGAATGCTTTGCAAGCAAACAGTGGGCGCAAGCGTTTGAAAAAACACGGGCAAACTTTGCAGTTCAGGTTTTCGCTATTAAATTAATTCATATTGACGGTAAACACTAAACACTGAATCCAACAAAACAGCAATAAAACATACATTCTCCCTACTGCGGTCGACTTTGCATTGTTTAATTATCTTCTTTCTAATAGAAGATGGGATGCTTTGCCCCTCTTACCAATAGCAAATTCACCTCATGTAAAAAATATTATCTGTTTGTGGAATTTGTTTTCTATTTGACGGTAAATTGCAGGTAATGCTTAGTGGGTTTGCGGCAGTATTTTTCCCAAACTTCGTATAGAAAACGTAGAAAAACTTCGATGTAAAATATTTTCCATATTTATAGCATTTATTTGAACCAATAATTCTGCCTCACTAAGACTTAACTCGCGTTTAATCCATCCAATGAAACTGCAATTCACATTTTTCAACATCGCGTCGAAATGGCCTACAATTCCCAAACCTGAAAACTTGGATGAATTATTTCGATTATTCAGGTCTTGTACTTAATTTCACTCTCATTCTGAAATAATTCGGTTCAGAATTTCCTTTCGGGAAATGTGCCAAAAACTAACCGGCTGAACAAGGGGACTGTATTACAAAGTTTTGTTTTGAAAGTGATAGCCGGTGTAAGTATTCCTTTGTTCATTGTGAACGAAATTAAGGGGAAACTGGACAACTTTGGTAGCCAGTTTTGCTCTTGTTGCTTCACGAAGTGGGCCTTTGGATGGCGATGGAAAGGCGAGAACTGTAATGGTGCCAGTTTTCACGCCTAAAACAAACCTGAAAAAAAGTGAAAGCAGTGATGCACTCGACAAGGATAATTTAACGTTCAAAACAGTTCACTTTTTATTCGACTTTTATTGTATTACTGCAACGAAAGTTGCTTGTTTTACATGAAAAAGAGTTCCTATGAAGCGCACTTTTTAGGCAAATGTTTTAAAGCTAAGGTTGATTTCATAAATTTTAGTTTTACGTACATTTCAGGTAAATTGCGTTGGGAAGCACAAACTAGTGTTTTTTTATATAAACATCCTGTAGATGGACGAATCCACGTAGATAACACCACCGACGCGCATTTCCAGAGCGTATAAAAGCGGACGGCTGGAATAAATGCCAGTTTCACTCTTTGGGATTCTTTGCTGATCAGCAACAGGTCTAAGTCGTCGAAGGATTCAACAGTTTGCTATCGGAAGTTTGCAAGGTTCCGAACGTTAGCCGAAATTGTCGCAGTTCCCATCGTCCGTCGATTTCATTTGGTAAGGTAAGTTTTACACAAAAGCTTCCAAACCAACAGTTACAACATTTTGAAACCAGCACTTGATTTAAAATTTGTGTCTCTTTTTGTATTTAGTTTTTTTTTTAACTTGATGATGACCGTCGCTTACTTTGCCGACCGAGTCTTGTGGGAATCGGAGTTGTTCATACATTTCTGAAAGTGTGGAAATAATGTAGTTTTTATTTAAGAAAAAGTATAACAAAAGTTAAATAAAAAAAACCATTCAATAATAAGCATTGAAATTAAATCGTCTTTTGGTTTTTGTCTAGTTTATTGAAATATAATGCGGTGTTCAAGTCATTGATGTTATATATGCGAAAAGCAACCAAACTTATAATTCGTCTTTAATAATAGTCACTTCCGAAAAAATCCCAAAAATACATATTTGTTCTGAAAGGATTTTAATTATTTGAGCCGCTTTGCATTTTCATCTCGGCTCTTCCTATTTATAGCCTGATAAATTGGAAGTGAGTCGAAGTTCAAACGAAATTTATGCATTCGTTGCAACTTGCGATATTTACAATTGACTAAAAAACTTTAAACTGCGTAAAAATCTGTATCTTTCTCACAAAGTAACTCTTAAGTTGAAATAAGAAATATATATCTTTTTTGGGTTGATTTTAATAGAAAGAGCAGATAATGATTTGAGCAACGTGTTCTGTAAATTTTTTAACTAAAATGATCCGCAGCATCAAACCAGATATTCATCAGTCTGAGTGGTCAGACTGATTTATAAATTACTGAAAACATGTTTGTGTGTGTATTGCTTTAAAATTGCTTATCATCAAAAAAACGTTTTTTAAATTGTTATGGCCAAAAATTATATTAAATTAAACAGTTCCTTTACCGACAATAATCAACATATTCAGGTAGAATGCGACTCAAGATATAAATCAGCAACAAAAGCTCAAGTTGAATTTAAGCTTTAATGCATTGTAGCGACTGACACGCATTATGTTAATCTTCAAGCGTAAATGTTAATTTTGATTTCAAAGTACTAATCGTATTTTTATTCAATTCAGAATTAACGAGAAAAATGCCAGTTAACTTATTTATGCGGAAATGTCTGTTCGGTTCATATATCAGAACAAAGAAGCGGTGCGTTATCCTTTATGTGATTATGCAAAGTGACTGATGATGGCCACAGTTATTTGCTTATATTTAGGCTTTTGATTTGAATCAAATCAACGAAACCCACATGTTATCCAAAACACACAAAGAGAAAACTTTTATTTGAGGAAATGCGCATTTTCTGCTTTTGTTCTCGCTCGAACTGAAACACTGTCTGTTCAGACTTAATGGAAAGAAAAACGGGTTTTTAATGTTCATGAAAATGTGAATGGTGAAAAAAAACATGACTTACAAGAAAAAGTTGCCTTTTTATTGAGCGTTCATTAGACCGATTTTTCAACAAAAAATATTTTCGTTTGAATACAAATGAGAAAATTTGCGTTTCCGAAAACGAGGCTTTTAACTCACAGTACATTTAGTGAAAATTTATACTGCAGGATTTTCGTGTCGCTTCGAATTACAAAAACAACTAGATGTTTGATATTTCTTTTCGGCACATGTGGACCATTTCGTACGTTTCAGCACCCTTCTAAGTGGATGGTTTATGTTTTCTTTTCATTAGTGTTTACTCTGAATTGCTATATTTTCAGTTATATTTCTTTTCTATTAAGTCAAGTGACAAACTTTTGAAAAGTTTGTATTTTTTTGGAGTGTTTTTATCCGGCTCAGTTTTTGTGTATCCACCTGGCAAGTGGTTATTAATCAAATTTACTTGCAACAGCTAATCTAAATGACTCTAGTCTTTTTTGTCTTTCCATGGAATACTACCTGAAAACGGTTTAAATATGGACCTTTATAGGAAAGACGAAATACAAATCTGTTATTAGAAACAATTATTTTATGGAAAACATTGCTAGTAAGTTCCACATTTACCGACCTTATTGCAAAGAATCTGTTTAATTTGCTCGAGCAAATACGAGCGGTGCATCCGATATCAAGAAAAAAGACAACGAAAGAACTTCTTTAGTCTCAAAAGAGCATACGTTTCCGTTTACCATTTCCACTGATATATCGATAATCCCATATAGACTCGACAGAAAATTAATATGCAGGAAACAACGTTGATTTTCGAAATATTTCGTTTTTTGCAAAAGCTGCGTTATTTAAATGAAAAACACTGGCATGCCATTGAATTCCCCAAAATGTATGACGTTAAGTTCCTTTTTCGCCTGTTTTTTTTAAACAAAAAGGCGTCGATGTCGTTTAAAATTAAGTACCCATGTATAATCTGCGCATGCAAATTTTAGGTCTGGTAATTCGAGAAATATTTATTAATAAAATAGGGTACAGGTGGCCTCGTGGTGTTAATGAGACGTTACGAATTTTTATGGCCCGTAATTCGTACAAAACATTGGATTTTTAAGCTTCTCGTAAATTGGTGCGAAAGGTAGGTATATTAAAGCTCTTTACTGGTTGTGCCCTGGCAATTTTGGTATATAATGTCACTCGAAGAACTAATCCAGATTTTTTTATCAATGTGAATCCAACATGTACGTGCATAAATGCGAAATGGACACATTTGTAATAGCAGCCCTCTCCATGGGTAGATAAAAAGTGGCAAAAATGAAACAAATGCAATAAACACTTCAAGATAGATCAACAGTAGGGAATTCCTATTGCCCCTCACTCCATCGTCAAACGAAATTCGACTCACGCCATTCGATCGACTTTACATGTAGGAGAATGGGAAAAAGCACAGTTTATATTAAATATCCAGAGAACTTCAATATAAATCCAGCTGCCAACGTTGCGTGATTGATCGTATCACGTTCACGATAGGGGATGATGTTTGGAATGCTAGAAAAAGAGTTTTATTTTTTATCAAAATTTAGACACATTCAACAAATATGGGGCGTTTGTTTTAGCAAGACCGACAAATAAAGGAGATGTTTAATTGGGTTCAAACAACAGAAGGCCCAGTAGTAAAACAAATATATTCAGTTTGTACACTGTTAATTTATTATCATATTAATTGTTTCGACAATTTCTGGTGGCAACTAGGTTTTTGCCACTAATTAAACTACGATGGGCAAAACTTTTTTAACTTTAAACATAAGCGTGGAATAAAGATAAACAATAATTAGCTGTTGAAAAAATACAATCTATTAAAAGCGAGAAGGTTTGCATAGAACTTCCTTTCAAATCGAGTTGAAAGGTTTGTTCAATGTGCAATGTTTAATGCTATAGAGTGATAAAATTGTGGAGCTTTTTACTCTGAACGCACAAAAATCACTGAGTATTACGAATTTCCTACAGGTTCCGCAGCTATAGAAGTAAACTTTCATGGCATATTAATCCACTCAGATTAGCTTATACTACCCAGATTCATTTACATGTAAATTAGGAACATTTTACAAGGCAAGAAAAGGGGGTAGGTGATGTAGTAAATTCTTAATACGCTTTGATCTCGCGTCAAAGATGTATGGGGATTATGGCTTGTATACAAAGTACAGTTGAGTCCGGATATAACGAACTTGAAAAATGAACTAAAACTGGTTTGTTACATCCGGAGTTCGCTATAAGCGAATAATAGTACAAAAACACGTGGTGTATTTTATTTCGTTATTTTTACATAGAGTAGTAAAAGTTAGTAGGTATGACTAAAAAGATCACAAAAAGATAAACAAAATTTAATTTGAAATCTACTTCATAAAGTCTGTAATTTTTGTTTGTACATTTCTGCTGCAAAAATAGATGTTATTTTTGTAGTTTTCAAGATCACAAAAGGACTCCCAGATATGATTAGGAACTTGGCGTGATTGTAGAAAATTCCGAGTTTCTGACACTTTTTT